AAGAAGAAGAAGAAGAAGAAGAAGAAGAAGAAGAAGAAGAAGAAGAAACCTCGTAATTCTATCATACTAGGGTGGATAGAGGGTCAAAAGTTTCAGAAGGTTCAGTTCATTTGATAAGATGATTTATGTTGTAAAACAAGGGACCTCCTGAAGACACATGAGAATGTCCTGTTCAGCAGAATGTACCCAGCAGGGGCTGGGGACAAGTGAGGTAAAATGCACGATGGAGTTAGCTAAAACTAGGACAAAAGGACATTTGGGGCATTTTATTTAACAATCCTTCCAAGTATTTGAGATTATAGTCTTGTACTACCACCAGGCTTGGGTGAGCTGACAGGGCAGGGAACCTACCGCCTAGAGCTGAAGCCACAAGCCTGGAGCTGAAGGAGGGGCAGGACTGAATCAAAGCCGGTTTCTGTGGGGCAGACACCTCCCCCACCCACGCAGGCTGGAGAGCTGTACAGAATTCCAGCACTAGGGAGCTGGTCCTGCTGAGCCCTCCCAAGTGCTTGCTCTTTTCAGGCCACTTACTGACTTAATTCAGATTTTCTAGTGTTTCTGTTTGTCGTTTTTTCCTTGCCTTCTGCGTTCTGCTGCTCAATAGCGCCCTCTGGTGTTTTTTAACCTAATCTCCTACATGGCCTTACTCCCTGATTTAGGTACTGCTTGAATCATAATGGACTTTTTGATACTGTTCGGGTTTGAAGTCTGAGGAATCAGACCCCAGAAGCTAAGGAACATGGAATTCCATGCTGTGGTTGTTGTATTAGTCAGCCACTATCAGACAAGAAAATTGCCTTCATAGCCTTTGCTGCATTCTCTTCTCAGCTGGTTACTTTCCTATTAAATTCTTAAAAACAAAACAAAACCAAAAAATACAGCATGGAATATACAGAAAGCATGGGACTTTTAAGACTTAGGGGCTAGAGGTGTATCTCAGTTGAGAGAGTGTCTGAGGCTCCGGCTTTGATCTCCAGCACCAGAGGACCTGGGTTTGGTGGTGCTGCCTGTAATCCTAGTGCTTGGCAGGTAGGGATGGGAGGGTTAGGTGTTCAAGGTCATCCTCAGCTACCTCGTTAATTTGAGGGTGGGTCTTAACACCACACTGCTGTCTCACTTTGCTTCTGGTAGCACAGGCTAGTCACTGGCCTTCGCATCCTTGCTGCCCAGAACACTGAAGGACAAGCAGAAGAGAAGGTGCCTGGAACATTTTGGCAACAGAACACCAGGCCTTGGTTCAGCCCTGCTAACTCAGTTTTATAAGGAGCCTAACAAACTGCCTGTGTCCACAGACATGGTCACTCCATTCTAATTCATTCTTTAAAAACATGTTTCAGATTTGAATTTGGCAAAGAGACACCCCAAACACTGAAGCTTGAAAATGCTTTGTATTTCGATCGAAAATACCTCTTTGCAAATTCCAAGACTTACTTCAACATAGCTGTGGATGAGAAGGGCGTCTGGATTATCTATGCTTCGAGTGTGGATGGCTCAAGCATCCTCGTGGCCCAGCTGGATGAGCAGACATTCTCTGTGTTACAGCACATCAACACCACGTACCCCAAATCCAAGGCCGGCAATGCCTTCATAGCCCGAGGGATCCTCTACGTCACAGACACCAAAGATATGAGGGTCACATTCGCCTTCGATCTGCTCAGAGGAAAACAGATCGATGCGAACTTTGATTTCAGAGTGTCTCCATCTGTTCTTGCCATGTTATCATACAACATGAGGGATCAGCACTTATACTCATGGGAAGACGGTCATTTGATGCTTTATCCTGTGCGGTTTTCGCCGGCAGCATCAAGTCATCGATAGGCTGCTGCCTGTCTTCCTTACACCCCTCGTGTCTGCTAGGGCTTCCCCCAGTCCAAGGGCTTGTCTGTAAAGGACATCCAGGCACCCGGCGCCTAGCCCATACCACAGGCACTTGTGCAATCAGCGAGCCCCCTTTAAGCCGGGTTGCTTAGATAGCTACAGACAGGAAGTGGAAATGGCTAAGATCTTGTGATTCAGCAAGCTGACTCTTCTCCTTGGGCCTTCGTTTCCTCATTGGTAATATGAAACATCTGAGTATGTTGATAACAATGTCCTCTACCTGCACGAAATTTTGGGATTCTTGGCTGATTAGAGGTTAGATTGCTTTCTGGTTGGGTCCCCCCCCCACACACACACACATGTAAACAAGTTTATCTGCAGTTTGAGGGATGAACTCATTTGTAACGACTCACATTTGGCATCTAGAGAAGGCACACTGGCTCCTAAGGCTTCTAAGGTAACTATGTTTCCCATAATTTGTTATTTTTCTCTGAATGTGCACCTGCCACCACCGAATGGTCATTGTTTCCGGCTCCTAAGTATAAATCCAAGATCAGTATAAACGACGAATAGCTGCAGGCTCAGGTCTCTACATGAAACTGCGCCCAGCCCTTCTAGGCGCCAGTCAATTTCTGAACTCGTCTGTTTGTTGCTGGGAAGCGTAACACGGCATCCTCAGCTCACGGCTGCCTCTGAAAGGCTATGGGGTTGCTATCAGAGTGTTAAACACTAAATGGGCGGTAATCTGGTTAGAAATTGGAAACAGGTGGTTTTCTCAGAAGAGAGGCACTGTCTGAGTTACTCCTTAGAATGAGGGCAGACAACAGGCTCAGGGGCCAAAGCCAGCCCATCTCCCGTTCCCGTAGGTGGCGTCACATTCCTGCACCTAAGAATCACACTGCAGACCCTGACAACAGGAAAGACAGCAGCTGTGAAAACTCCCAAACATTACTACTCAGCCCTTTACAGAAAGAAGGGAAAAAATGCCGACCTTTAATCTAGACACGAAGTGAACCAGGGTCCTGGAAGGGCTTACTCCCCAAGTCCCATTCAGACCGAGAAGTGGCATTTTATGCAGCTTGAGTTTTGGCAGAGGGAAAAGCTAAGAACAGCATCAGATGAAGTGAACCTCCAGCCAGGGAGACATTCACTCCCTAATGATTCTCAAGGTTTGAAAATGATCTAGTTTAACTGGCTTCTACGAACCCTTAACCAAACATGTTTTCTGCCAAGTCTGTCAGCCTGACACTGAGTTCCCCAGGCAGGACCGTGGAGGTCAAGAGGGAGCTGAAACTTTCATTGCCCTTTGAAGACAGGAAGAGAAACTACAGAAACTGGCCAGAAATGCCTGGCCAGCAATTTGTTCCAGTGTGTGTTCTGAAATATTCTCAGTGGCCCTGTGACCTGGTTTAATCTTTTTAATAGAGGCACTTTCAAACTCAGGGTGTGCATATTTAACTGTTTCAATTTTCCCAACCTCTGAAAACACCCAGGCGAGTGAGTGGTGCCATTGTTGAGTTCTCAAGGTAATGGGTCCCGAAGCTTCTCCATGTCTCCACTTGCTTGCTTCTGCCAGTCGACAGCTTTCAAAGATACTCTCTCAGATTCAGTAAGGAGTTCTCCTGTTTTATCAGTGTCTAATGAATGCTATTGTTCCTTTAAAGTATTCAAATATGTGGTACTGTTTCTGAGTACAGTAGACCTGGATATAAACAAAATTCCCTTACTATTACTTAGTAGTGTTGCTGAGAATAGATACAATATTAATTGTACACATATCTCAAGCAAAATAGTTTAGTTATTGAATTGGCTCACATAGTTTTGGTATCTGAACTATCTTAGTCTTTTTTTGTTTGTTTTTAACAGGGTCTGTGTATGCCCAGGCTGATCTCAAACTCCTGAGGTCAAGTGATCTTCCTGTGTCAGCCTCCTGAGTGCTGGGACCACAAACACAGTGGCTCTTTGTCTCTCTTGATTGTGGGTAAGGAATCATACACTCACTATTAGAGAAGCTCATGCTGAGACTTTTTGTTTCTTTTCAGTATTGGTTTTTTGTTTGTTTGTTTGGTTGGTTGGTTTTTGCTATGGTACAATGGGATTAGAACAAGAAAGGCTGACTGATGTTTAGTGACTGTTTTTACAGAAGAAGAATTAAAATTTTATTTTTTTCTTGCAAACAGTACTCCATTCTATATCACTCAACACACACAAGCACACACGCACACACACCTGCACACATGCACACACATGCACAGTCACGTGCACACACGCACACAGGCGTTTCAGGCTCACTGCTAAAATAGGAGGCACAGCTTTGTGTTTTTAAGTCAAGATATTTTTTAATCATCCCCATTGCCACTTATAGCCAGAGTTGTTCTAAAAGCACTTTGCATATCTCTGTATGAAATCAAATAATTCTTGATTTCTTCTCAAATCTAAAGTAGATACCATCCCACTGGAAACCATACCTTCTAACTCTAAAGGTAGGCCAGACCCTATATACCACATCATTTTCTTTCAGCTGCTATTGGGTTCAGCTAAGGTTTATCTGGCCTCGATAAATCATGAGGCAGAGGTGATGGGGTGGGGGAGCGTTCTAGGCTGAATGTCTTGAATCAGTTCTGGCCTTGGGTTCCTCCAAAGTCTTTTTACTCTCAGAATCAAAAGGTGAAATGTCAAATACGAAAGCACAATTCTTGAAACATCAGCTGTCATCTCCCAGTCATACACGGTATGCTGACCTTTGTCTGTCTGGTTGCAGCTCTTTGAAGGGGAAGTGAGGGATGAAATTCCCAGTCATACATGGTATGCTTGACCTTTGTCTGTCTGGTGAGGAGCTCTCTGAAGGCGAAGTGGGGAATGAAATTCTTCAGCTTTCATCAGTGCTGTGGCCTCGTTTCTTGCATCATTCCCATCTGTAACCACAGATTCCAAATGACCAACAAATAACAATTGTAATTAGTAAAATAAAATTATCCTGAACATTATCACATGTAGAAACAAGTGTTTTGCTATTTTTACCTCTTAGTATATATATATATATATATGAAACACAGCTCAGATCAGCACTGAGGTAGAATTATGTTGGTGGTTTCTCTGTAGAGACTTTGTTTGCTAGTTCTGCCTGAACACTGGGCAATCATTACCATAGACTGTTCCTGCTATAGGAAAACAAGGAAAATGGACAACTAGGAATCAAACCTGTTCTCATACATTCTCTGTTGTTATGATATACACCTTGACCAGGAGCAACCTAGGGAGGTTGTACACTGTAGTCCATCATACAAGGAAGCCAAGGCAAGAGCTAAGAAAGAGGATCATGGAGGAATCCTGTTTAATCCTTGTGTTCAGCCAGCTTTCCCCTACAACTCAGGGCCACAGGCACAGTGTGGCACAGACCAGTGGGCTGACCTTCTAAATCATGGTGTTTCATTGCAGCAGTAAGAAACTCTAATTGGGAGTCTTATATTCCTTGATTATTCTATGTGGAATACTCTTAAAAACTGTACAATTCTTGAGAAATTATAATTGCTCTGTTCCTAAGGCATAGGCACAATGTCACTAATTTCTATGTGTTGGTTGGTTTGGTCAAGCAGGTAACATTGACAGTTCACCAAAAAAATAGTCCCTTAGTTATGCTATGAACTTACACTAAGATTTTGTCAGCAGTTCCAGAAGCTGATGCCTATGGAGCTTCTTGGTGGCACTTCTGGCCCCAGCAGCTCAGTGTGCACTGCTTATGACCTTTATAATGGAAATAGTACAAAACAGAGAAGTCGAAAAAAATAAATAAGGTTCTTGTTTTCTGTAAGTGGGCTATTCAGACTTTGTGTGCAATTCAAATATCTTGTAGCTGCTGGAGGTGGGGTTTAAAATAATGATGAGGGGATGGAGAGATGGCCCAGTGATTAAGAGCAATGACTGCAGACCAAGTTCAACCCCTAGCACCCACAGAGCAGCACATAAGTGTCTGCAACTCCAGATCCGGATGATCCGACACCCTCGCACAGATGTACATGCAAGCAAAACACCAATGCGTATAAAACAATAATAAATTTTAAAAATTAAAATGCTGATGAAATTTATCTCTCAGTGTCACTTCTTTCCTTGCTAATAAGCTCTTATGGTCAACCTTGATGAGTGAGGTTGTTTCAAATTAGTTTTTTTTAAAAAAACTTTTAAAAAATGTGTGTGTGTGCATGTGTGCAGGCCCCTGCCAAGTCCAGAAGAAAGTCTCACATCCCCTTGGAGCTGGCGTTCCAGACAGGTATGAGCCTAAGGTCCTCTGCAGAGCAGATAAGGTCTCTCCAGCCCTCAAATTTCAGTTACCCAAGAGCAGCTCAGGTGCTAAAGCAGATGCTTGACCGACTTTGTTACGGCCTCCACCTCACTCTATCACTGACAAAGAACATCTGGCTCTTGTCATCAGAAAGTGAGCATAACTAACTTCGAATATGTCTGTGAAAGTCTTTCCTTTTTGGATGTTGTTTTGCTTTTTGAGACAGCATAACACACTATAGGCTAGCCCAGAATTTACCATATAGCCCAGGCTGGCTTCAAATTTATAACAGTCCTCCCACCTAGCCTTTTGAGTGCCAAGATTACATCATGCCCAGCTAGGATCATGCCCATCCCTTTTTAGAACATATGTAGAGAGCTCCCTTTCTCCCCAGGCAAAGAGCACTCCTCACCAAAGACGTTTCACCGTAACTCAGTAGTGCCAAT